TATTATGAAAATACGTTACAACGTCCTAGGCCCCCTGGGTGGGGCCCGACTAGTAATCGATGCCAAATCCGGAGAAACAACTGGCCGCTGTGATACAATTCTGTTGTTGCGCATCATCATCATCATCATCATCCACCCTACTTGGAACAGCTTATATCCTTCGACGTTACCTTAACAGTTCCTAGGTCCTTGGTTAGGATTTGAGCTGTTGAGCTACCAACCAGCCCCAAAGGCTATGAATCTCACCAAAGATTAACCAGTAATAATAATAATAACAACAATGAGGAGGAGGAGGAGAAAGAGGAGGAGGAGAAAGAGGAGGAGGTGGAGGAGGAGGAGAAAGAGGAGGGATAAGGAGAAGAAGAAAAAGGAGAAGCAGCAGAAAGAGGAGGAGGAGGAGAAGCAGAAAACTTGGGTTGATACCTAGGACGCTGGCAGCAACCCATATCAACCATCAACACCAGTCAATGATATTTGAAATACATTTTTTAAATGTTCAGTTGACTGAGTTTCATGTTTGATGAATAAAAGAGATATAATAATAACCACGACTGTGATATCTGGTGTGTTGTGTTCTAAATGACCATCCGTCTGATTTTTCGAATACAGACGGATCGTCATTAGGAACAAAACACGTCAGATAACACAGCTGTCGAAAACCGAAACGTACCATTTCTTGACATCGCGATACAAGGAGATGCCAGAAAAAGAACTGGGGGGGGGGGAAAAATCACGAAATACCGTGACTTGGCCATCGAAACCACATGGCTATGGATGAAACATGTAAGAGTGATACCCATTGTTATCGGGACGCTTGGCGCCATGTCCAAGAATTTTATAAGATACATACATCAAGAAATTGCAGCTTCCTGCAATAATACCAGCAGAACTGCAAAAAACTGCGCTACTCGGAACATCTTATATTTTAAGAAGGTACTTGGGTTGACACCTAGGAGGCTGGCAGCAACCCATATCAACCATTAGCACCAGTTAATGGTATTTGTGAGGCATATTTGAATGTTCACTTGACTGAGTTTCATGCTTAATGAATAAAAGAAATCATCATCATCATTGGTATTTGTGATGCATTTTTGAATGTTCAGTTGACTGAGTTTCATATGTAATGAAATAATAATAATAACAACAACAACAACAATAATATCATAGACATCACAATACCAGGTGATAGCAAGGTCGCTGAGAAGGAACATGAAAAAATCGCAAAATACCAGGACTTAAAAAT